TGCCCCCCACTACCGCTTCAGCTTCCCTCCCCTCCAACACCTAGCCCCCAGCCTGTCAAACCTCACCAAATTGAAAGGCAATACCCACCAAGCTCAGGGTGGGTGTTTGCATCTGATACAACCTCTGGGATTGAAGCTGAGGCAGTTCTGGCAAGAGGCGTCCATGAGCGGTAGAACCTTCCACACATTTTCCCATGAGGTGCAGGGCTGGGACCACATGGGAGAGGGCAGAGTGTCCTGCCCAGGCCAAGACCCAAGACCTGGAGTAGGGAGTGAGGAATGGAGGGACATTAGCAGCCTCCCAGAGCCACGCCCTGGCCTGGTCCTCTGTGCACTCATGCATTCATTCATTCACCTAGGGATTCATGTATTTGCTCTAGCATTCAGCATGAATGAGTACCTACCATGTGTGGGTCTCTGCATGGCCCACTGTAATGTGGAGGATACAAAGATGAATAAGACAATAGACCACACCGGCAAGGAGCTCCTAGTTTACTATGGAGGGTGAAACATGCTTATGTTATCCTGCACTGTTTAATTGTTGTGTAGATGATTTTCATGAACTGTGTAGTAAATTTGTAAATTAGAACAGATATTTGCTTTAAATTGTCTTTATTATGTATGGCAAAGAATTGATCACATTAATATACAGAGAGTTTGTAAATAACGGTAAGGGGGAGTAAAGTGTCCCAAGTACGCAGAGGACTTGAATAGGCAACTCAAAGACAAATAAATATAGGTAACCAATACACAAGGGGAAATCTGTTTCCATTGCTGGTAATTAAAGAAATGCGAGGTCAAATCATCATGAAATACTGGTGGTTGTCAGATTAGCAGGTTTAGAAGGGGTTTGAGGACTACCCTCTTTCAGGTCCCCTCCTGCTAGGGGAACTTTTCTATCTTCTTAATAAACTCCTACTTCCTCCAAAAAAAAAAAAAAGGTGCTTGAAGGTGTGGGAAGGGTGCCTGTGAGCCCTGCTGGCACGGGGGACTAATGTGCCCACCCTCTGGTGGCTCTTGGAAGCCAACTGGTGCACACTGAGAGCTCCCCAAGGAATGAAGTGGGTGAGTGTGTAGACAATGTCATGCCAGGCTTCCTTTACCTCTCAGCATTGTTTATAATAGGGAAGACAATAAAAAAGGAACACGTAGGGACCCATGGCCATCAGTACAGGATGGATGAAAGCATCGGGCCATAGCCCTGCAGGGACTTCTGTCTAGCCTGTTATGTGGTGTTATAAACTTTTATTAGTAAAACTGCTGTTTTACATAGTCCATTTACATCGTTTTCTGTACACAAAAGAAGTATAGACGCTGTACCCTAATATGGTAACAGTGAGTTGTGCTGCAGGAGTAGGATTAGAGGAGGTTATAACACTCTTTTTTTAAAAAAAAAAAAATAAGCATTTATTAGCTTTTATTAGCAGAGAAAAATAATAGTTCTTTCCATTTAAAAGATACAGAAATTTGTTCAAAGGGGTCATGAGAGGCCAAAGATCCTCAGGCTGGGAGGTCCGTGTAGGCCACGGCTGGGCAGGAGAGCAGAGACGGCAGGAGTGGGAGGGAAGCCATTTAGTACATTGGGCAGGTTAATTATACAGGTATTTGCTTTAAATTGTATTGTGTATGACAAAAGATTGATCACGTTAGTATACCAAGAGTTCTTAAATAATGGAGTGGGCATCAAATTGTGCGGGTTGAGGCTGGGTCCAAGCTGTGGAAACCCTGGGCTGGCTGGACGAGTGGAGGCCTGCCCTGGAAGGAATGTGATGGCAGCCGGTGACAGGAGTGACAGAGGACTGGTGTGTGCTTGCAGGTGGGAGACCTGCCGCAGACAGTCATCCCGGTGCACATGGCAGTGGTGGGCTGCCCCATCAGCTCCCTGAGGACCACCTACTACACCACTGACCAGGTCCAGAAGGAGCCTGTCATCAGGTGCCCCGCGTTCAGCTTATCCTCTACTCCCTGATGGCCCTGAAACTCTCTGGCCTCCAGGCTGGGCTGCCCTTGGGACTTGTTGCTCTCTAGCTGTCCCAGGATCACCTACAAGAAGGCTCCAGGGCAGGGCTGTGCCAGATGAAAGAGGCCTCAGGGGACATGGCTGGCATCTGCCCATCTCTGAGGGCTTCTGGGGGGCAGAAGTAGCAGGTAGTTTGTGGCCCGAGGTCACGCCCAGACCTGAGGCCCTTCCCACAACTGAGCTGGAATCAGCTTGGCCCACTCAGACTGGGTGGGGTGGATTACTGGGGCGGTGAGCGCACAGAGCACAGTTCACCAGGTGCAGCATGGGGAAAGCCCCCAGCCCTGAGTCAGTGCTTCTGGGAAAGGACAAATCCCTTGATGCCTCCTCCCTGCCTGAGCCCCTACCCCCAGCCCTCTGGCCAGGTGTGCACTGGCTGTAGCTGTGCTGAGTCTGCCCTCCCCACCTCCAGGTTCGGCACCCAGGTCTCAGGAGGAGACACAGTTACCCGAGTCCTTCGCCTGCACAATTCCAGCCCCTGTGGTGAGACGCTCACAAGATTAATCGGGGCTCTTGCTATGGGCTGTGCCTTGTGGTGAGCCAGGCTGGGAGGGGAGATGGGGTCCGGGGAAGCTGATGTCCTATGAGCCGAATCCAGGAGTCCAGGTGTCCTGCGTCACTGAGGCATTGATGGGGCTGCAGATGCCCTGCTCTCATCAGGGTCACCATGCATAGGGACGGACACTTCCAGAGGCCCCTCTTCTCATTCCTTCAGCCAGCAGTACCCTGCACTACATGCAGGTGTGGGGATACAGAGGGAATAGGACAGGGGGGTCTCTGCCGAGCAGCTTCCATCCTGAGGGAATGAGTGTGGCTGCAATGTGTTGCATTATGACTGAAGGGAGGTCAGAGTGCCAAGGATGTACCAAGGGGTTCATGCCTCCCTGTGGAGGGGCATGTAGGCTGAGTCCAGGGGGGAAGGTGAGCTAATGTGGCCTGGGGGAGTGTTTGGGGGCCAAGAGTGTTCTGGGCCTGGGGAAGAGCTCGGAGAGATGCAATCTGGTGGCACTAGAGAGGGGACACTGGCCATGGCTGGCCTCTGAGGAGGGTGTGGGAGCAGGATGGAAGCAGGAGGGGCAGGGAAGATGGGGTGGATTCAGACAGATGGGTAGGTTTGGGACAGGACTTCAGGGAGGGATTCTTTTTTTTTAAGCCCGTCTGGCCTTGGTCTCATTCTGTACTGATCTTTGTTGCCCAGGCTGGAGTACAGTGGCACGCTCATGGCTACCGCAGCCTTAACCTCCTGGGCTCAGGCAATCCTTCCATCTCAGCCTTTCAAGTAGCTGGAACCACAGGCATGTGCCACCATGCCCGGCTAATTTTTTTTAATTGTAGAGACGAGGTCTTGCCAAGTTGCCCAGGCTGGTCTTGAACTCCTGGGCTCAAGCAATTCTCTCTCCTCCACATCCCAAAATGCTGGGATCTACCACGCCAGGTCTAGGGACTTCTTGATTTGAGGGCTTCTGGTAGATGAGGTGGGGCCACCATCTGGGCTTGAGGAGGTAGGTGGAAGTGTCAGAGGAGGGCGGGGACAGCTGACATGGTTTAGGCTGGGGACAGATTTATGAGGCTGCAGTCTGTTCTTCTAGGGGACTTTCTTCAGTGGTGCCAGAGGGATGGTGCAGTGCAGTTCTTTCAGGGTGAGGCTTTGCCAGGCGGGTGGCAGGATGCAGGGGCAGGGGGAGCTATGAGGATGCTGGCAAGACAGGTTAAAACGGTGGTTTCCAAAGGCCAACCTGGCTAGCAAAGGAAGTGAAAGCAGACAAGGGCTGAGGGACGGGGGGAGCAGGCGGGGTTGCAGGACCTGGAGGACCTGGCCTGCCAGGCAGGAAGGAAGAGGAAGCTGCAGGGAGAGAGTGGAGAGCCTGGATTTGGGTATCTGGACTGGAAGGCCTGACTTTGTGACCACAAGGGCCTCTGGATATTGAGCCAGGTGGTGTAAGCCTATGAAGACCATTTTTAGAAGGAGAATTGCCTGGAAGTGGCATGAGAGAGGCAGTGAGCCCTCCTCCACCCAGGGTATGGGAGAACGGGGAACCTCTGAGGGGTGTGGGGAGGTGAAGGCCAGGGGAGATGGTCTATACTGCCCTTGTTCCTCGCCCTCCCCTGCATCTGCCCAGACATCCGCCTTGACTGGAGGACCTACACTCCGGAAGACAGGGAAGACCGGCTAGTGGAACTGCTGGTGTTTTATGGACCACCCTTCCCACTGCTGGACCAAGCTGGGAACGAGCTTGTGTGCCCTGAGGCCCCTGAGGACAGCTACCTCCTCTGGTCCCTGAGCCCTTCCAATTCATCGGAATGCAGCCATGAAGCTGCCCCATTGGTGAGTGGGGCAGTGGGGCGGAGGGAGGCTGGCCTCTCAGGGCCGCTGAGATATAGCCAGTGGGCCAGTTGAACCCTGTGCAAGCCTCAGTGACTCCTTGGTGACAGGTTGGGGGCAGCTCCAGTGCCAGCAGCGGGGTGGCGGAGCAGCTCATCTCAGTCATCCTGCAGGCGCACGAGGGGGTGCCCTCCGAGCACCTGTACTGTGTCAGCCCCAAGCAGGTGGTGAGTTGGGTGGGGGCTGGGAGCTGGCTCGTGGAGGGCAGGCTGGCCAGCCAGTGGGCACGGGGCAGTGCTGAGGCTGCTGTGTCCGTGCCAGGTGGTCCCTGCTGGGGGTAGCAGCACCATCCACATCTCCTTCATACCCCCGGTGCTCAGCCCCAATATCCTGAACAAGGTGGAGCACGCAGGCTATGCCCTGGGTTTCATGAGCTTGGATGACGAGGTGAGTCTTCGTGGCCTGGAGGGGAGTCATAGCCACTGCCCCTGCCCCCTCCTGGGTAGCATGCTGCCTGCACAGCTCAGGGACCACCAGTGATCAGGCGTGGGCTTGGTAGGTGGAAAGGGAGATTCCAGAGAGGAGGTGTCGCCTGCAAGACTTTGCTGTGGGACCCCTGAAACTGGACCTGCATGGCTACGTGAGGCCAGCACAGTGAGTGCTCCACCCCCTGGGGGCAGCACCTCCCCGGGCACTGGTGGGATCAGAGTTCTCAGAGCAAAATGATGGAATGGGAGGGAGAAGCCTGCAGGGATCCTGGGGAAGGGCTGGCCCCGGGGCCAGATAAGCAGAGTGGGGGCAGCCAGGAGGCCCCAGGTGCCTGGCCCGCCCCAGCTGTGCCTCTTGCTGGGCAGGCTGAGTGTGGAGCTGGACTACGGCAGCGGCATGGAATTCCGGTGCCAGGCCAGTGATCTCATCCCCGAGCAGCCCTGCACTGGGGTGAGTGCTGCCACCCTTTGGCCCTGTCAGTTTATCTGGACCTCAAATGTCCCAATGGGCCCTTCTGAGGCACAGGCTTACAGTCTGAACCGCCTCCCCAAGCCCTTCCCCAGAGGCAAGGGCTGGTGGAGAGGGGAGAGATGCATCCCAAACATCGTCCCCCCCATCTCTCCCCAGGTGCTGAGCGAGCTGGTGACCACCCACCACCTGAAGCTGACTAACACTACGGAAATCCCACACTACTTCCGGCTCCTGGTCTCCAGGCCCTTCTCTGTTTCTCAAGATGGGCCTGGCCGGGACTACAGAGCCCCTGGCCGCAAGCAGGAGTGTGAGGAGATAGCCTCATTGGGCAAGCAGCTGGTGCTCCGCCCACAGGAGAACATGCTGGTCAGTGGGGCGGTCTTGCCTCAATGGCACAACCTCACGTGTACAGACAACACACCTGCTCACCATCCTCACACATTTGTACCTAGTCTTTGCAAACTGCACACCTGACCCCGCCATGCCCTGTATGACACTCTGGCTGCACTCCCCTGAGACACACCACTTCAGCACCTCTGCATGGTGGCTTACACAGGTGTGGATGTACCAGACATAGCATACATACACACACACACACACACACACACACACACACACACACACACACACACTCCAGAAGTACACCTAGAACTTCTCTCTCAGAGCCCACTGCTGACTTCCTGGTGGAGGCCATGCATTCCTGTGGGCACCTCCACTTCGCACAGACCCTTCCTTCTCATGTGCTTCCCTCGGGGCCAAGTGCCCTGGCTCAGGTGAGGCCATGGTAGAACTGCATAACTGTAAGGCGCTACAGGTCCCAAAGTGATTTTCCCTCCTTTGGCAGGGTGTCAGGATCCTTGATTTTCAGAATTTGCAGGAGAAGGAGGTCCTGGAATGCCAGGACCTCAGTGAGAACAGTTGACTTCTGCTTCCTTTGGCCTCTGAGGTATTTGGAATGAGGATAGGTCACAGGCCTCGTGGAAGTTTGGGTGTGTGCACACCCACACCTACATGATGGGCTCCCCAGGTGTGCACAGGCAGGCCAAGGAGAGACAGCCGGAGGAGTGCCTGCACTCTCCTATCTCCCCCTGCCTCAGAGGCCCTCCCTCCTCTCCTTTGAGGGCTTCCTTTTCTGCTGATGCTCCCGGAGCTCCGATGGGCCCTTGCCCCACTCTGCACACTCCATCCACCTCAGTGCCTCAGTGAACAGCCATTTCTCCCTTCTCAGTGTACACTCCATTCTGTGTAGTGAGGGCCTGCTATGTACTAGATGCTGTGCTGGGTGACGGGACTCCGCGTGACCCTTATCATGGAGGTCAGGGAGACAGACACGGATCTGCAGAAGATGGACGCTAGGGCACCCTTGACCCACTTTGCATTTGCTCCCTTCTTCCAAGAGCTAAAGTGAGGAGGAGGCCCAGAGCACAACAGAGGTCCCATTCTGCCAGGGCTTCCCCAGGAGACCCTGAAGTCACCCATCAAGTATTCAAAAATCTTTGAGCAGCTCTGGGGAAGCCCAAAGTTTCCCAGAAAAAGGACATCACATAATGGCACTGCATCTCACCCTCCGTGTGCTAACAAGGCCCAGCTCCTGCCAGAATTCTCTCCCAAGGTCTAGAACCAAAGTCAACCTGTTTAAATTGAATTCCCCATCCCCTTCCCACCCGTGCCTGCTTTTCATAGTGGTATTTCACCTCAGCAATGCCACCACTCTCCTCCCCCTTTGCATGGCCAGAGCTCTGAAACTCCTTGTCCTAAACTCTTGGACCAGCCACCAAGCCCTGTGGACATCCCCTCTTAAATCTCCCTTCTCTTTACCCTTACACCTATATCTTGGTCTAGGACAGTGGTTTCCATGGCTGGGCCTGCATCAGTGGCCTTTAGAAAGCTTGTTAACGACATGTGTTCCCAGGCCCATCTCCAGAGATGTGAAGATCTAGGTGAAGCCAGAGAACGTATCTTTTTCTTTTTCTTTTTTTTTGAGTTGGAGTCTCACTCTGTCACCCAGGCTGGAGTGCAGTGGCACACTCATGGTCACCCCAGTGTTGACCTGCTGGGCTCAGGTGATCCTTCCACCTCAGCCTTCCAGGGAGCTGGAACTACAGGTGCACGCTCCCATGCCTGGCTAATTTTTGATTTAACCAGCCCTCCAAGTTGCCTGGGCTGGTTTTGAACCCGCGGGTGCGGGCAATCCACTTACCTTGGCCTCCCAAAGTGCTGGGATTGCAGCCTGAGCCACCCAGCCCAGCCAAGAATGTGTATTCTTAACAAGTGTTTTTGATTTTGATGAGCTTGTACGGAAGACCTGTGTCTGGAAGCCAGGAGTCCAGGCTCCATCCTTCCAGCCTAAGTTATAATCCTGGCCTGTGAACTGGTCTCACGCCCCCACATGTGCTCCTGCAGCCCAGCTCCCCACAGAGCCCGGGACCCCTGTGGAAGGCAAAGCTGACTTGGACGTGCCCCTGCTTAAACCTGGCAGAGGCTCCACACTGTCCTTAGGATAAGAACCAAGACTTTCCTCAGCCTATGAGCCTGACCACAACCCTGGGCACGCCAGGTGGTAAAAGGCGGTTTGCTCACTATCGCTCCTCCTTTAGCCTCTGACACTTGAGGGAAAGTGCAGCTTTGTTTCCAGCACTAACAGAGTAGGTGCTGGGCAGCACTTGTGGAATGAAAGCATGGGGGTTTGGGGAGAGAGGATTGGGGTGGCACTGGGCTGTCTGCTGGGCACGGTGGGACTAGTCTGGGCCTGGAGGAGATGGGCACAGAAGGAAGGAGGAAGCTGGAGCTGACACCATGTCCAATGTGCTCAGGTGGACGTGTCCTTCTTGCTCTCCCTGGAGCTGCTGTCTTACCAGAAGTTCCCGGCTGACCAGATGCTGCCAGGGGTGGACATTCAGCAGCGTGCGAGTGGAGAGAAAGAGATGGTGTTTACTCAGGACCTGCTCCTGGAGTACACCAACCAGACCTCTCAGGCAAGTCTGGGGCCTGCCCCACAGGGTGAGGAGAATGGAACCAGGCTGGGGTCAGAGGAGAACCTGAATACACAGCCCCCAGAAATAAGGAGCTCCGGCCCCTGCTCTGGGTTTCAGTCTGCCCTGGAAAAGGCCCTGTGTGCAGAGATGAGGGTCATCATCCTCACCTGTCTCAGGATCCCACAACCAGGTAGGGGGGCTGGAGAGTGGGAAATCAGGGAGGTGGCATGTGAATACCGCATGGTGTTTAATCGAGGGAGAAGGGAAACACTGAGCCAGGCTGACAGGTTGGCCTGATGTGGGGGATGGGGGGACCATGCACACCTGAGGTAGCTGTGAGGGATGACTTGGGCTGGTATGGGCTTCTGGTATGGGCTTCAGGCAGCAGGGTGAGGGCCATGGGCCAGGTCCCCAGGCCATGGTGTGAAGGCTAAGCTGGGCTGCAGGTGAGGCGTGTGAAGGAATAGCTCAGGGGAGGACTCCAGAGGCTGATGGTGATGAGGACTCCAGAGGCTGATGGGGCCCAGGTGATGAGGTGATGTACAGCAACACCTGGGTGGCACGGGGACTGCCAGGGGCTAGAGCACGCACACATGGGGCTTGAGGTCACGGGACTCGGTTAGATGGCCCAGGGACAAGAGGAACTGAGGGCTGGGCCTTGAGGGCCCCACGAGAGGATGGGGAGGAAAAGGAGGGCAGCTGAACCCACAGTGGAGCAGGGGCCATAGAGCATGGTAGGAGCGAGCCTGTTCCCCAACAGGTGGTGCCCCTGCAGGCCACTGTGGCTGTGCCCGAGCTACAGCTCTCCACCAGCTGGGTGGACTTTGGGATCTGCTTTGTGAACCAGCAGCAAATCCGGGAGGTGTACCTGGTGAACCTGAGCGGCTGCCGGAGTTACTGGACTGTACTGATGGGTATGTCCTGTGACTTCCCGCTGCTTCCCTGCAGGGCTGTACCCAAACAAGGCCCCTGGAGGGGGCCCACGTGCCCTGTCCCTGTGCACTGGCTTGCAAGGCTGGCACCACTTGGAATTCTGCAGTCAGTCCCCCAATCCCATGTGACCTCAGGGTTGCCTTGTGGTGCTGGGCAGGACCAGAGGTACACACCTGAGACGAGCTGCAGGCAGGCCTGGGGGTGGTGATTGCTTCCCGTGGCGGCACCTGGAGCTGCTGTGCTCACATGTGTTCCTTCTTCCCCTTGGTGCAGGCCAACAGGAGCCAGCCAAGGACACTGTGGCCTTCAGGGTCTCCCCAAACAGTGGACTGCTGGAGGCACGACCTATCAATGCGCCCCCAATGTCCATCACGCTACAGGTTTTCTTCACTGCTAGGTACTGCCCTTCCTGGCCTCCCCTCAACCGCCCCTGGGGTTTGGACGCCCTGCCCAAAGCCTCTCCTAACCTCAGTCCCTACCTGCTCCCTACAGGAGCAGTGAGCTGTATGAGTCCACGATGGTGGTGGAAGGTGTGCTTGGCGAGAAGACCTGCACCCTGCAGCTCCGGGGCCAAGGCTCTTATGATGAGCGATACAAGTCACTTTGCCAGCTCTGAGGCTCTGCCCTGCCCCTCAGCCCCAGCCCCAGCTTTGGAATAAACATGGCCCAGGACTGAGAAGATCTTCTGTGCAGGGACATAGACTCCAGAGCCCCCTTCCGTGACAGGTCTCAGCCCAGGCCCTGTGTGATGTCCTCAAAGTTGACATAAAGGCTAGGCCACACCAGTGGAGGCTATACAGTTAAGCATCACTACTCAGATCCAGCAGAGAGAAAAGACCAGCATGGCAGAAACTGGTCCTTGGGAAAAAAAACTCACAGTCATGAAGATAAGTTAGCACACATTTACTATGTCCACTGCACTCCTCATCCATAAATCGGCCTTCCCCCAGGAATTACATGATGGCCTTGTGGCCTCAATGACATGGGCACAGCTAAAGGGGGCCTGATGAGGGCTGGTCCAACACCCCACCCATTCCTGTACCATGTTATCAGTGTTCACATTTCCCAAACTGAAGTGCCACCACCACCCGTGCTGAATTTTCCCATGTGCTTCTCTTCTGTAGTGTTGCTCCCTTGCTGCTGGGGCAGGACTGCTGGGTAGCACCTCTAGCCTGGGGCCTCAGTTTCCAGGGTATTCAAAGACAGCAGCAGCTCCCATTCCAGTCCCAATGCACATGGATACCACTCCGTAGGCCCTGAGGAAACAAAACTGCATTGGCTGAGCAGAGGCTCAACCTCCAAGCTACCTCCAGACCACACTGAGCTGGATGGACCAAGGCCCTCAGGGACAGACACACAGGACACAAAAGCATCAGACCAGATCTGTAGGCAAGCAGTACCCTGACCTTCCACCTAGGTGCATACACACACGATGGCAGATGCCTACTGCAGGCCAGGATCCCTCAGAAAGCCAGCCCTCCAGGAAATCAGGGATTACACCCTATAGCCTCATTTCCGGGTATTTATGTGTGCATGCTCCCCTCCCCAGGAGCTGATCAGACTCCTGTAAGACACAGTCCCCCAATACCAAATGTTGGAATCTCAAAAGATCAAAATCCCTAAAGTCTAAAAAATCCCTAAAATTTCAATCCCCCAAAAATCAAAGTGCTGAATGTAATTCTGGAAAAGTGATTTGAAAAAATATTTAAAACACAGTATTTATACTTTTAGACCGGGCGTGGTGATTCACGCCTATAATCCCAGCACTTTGGGAGGCCGAGGAGAGAGGATGGCCTGAGCCCACGGATTCAAGATCAGCCTGGGCAACTTGGTGAGACCTCATCTCTACAAAATCGATAAATTAGCTGGGTGTGGTGGCATGTGCCTGTAGTACCAACTACTTGGAAGGCCGAGGCAGAAGGATCACCTAAGCTCAGCAGGTCGAGGCTGTGGTGGCCGTGAGCATGCCACTGCACTACAGCCTGGGCAAGAGTGAGACTCCAACTCAAAAAGTAAATAGAGTTATCTACACTTTTAAAGGGGGATTTGAGAAACAAAAATATGACAGAACACTTCATAGGCCACTTTACACAATAAAACAGGCAACGATAACATACATGTTTTTGCAAGCATAAACATACAGCTATATTAACAATCACATGGTATAACAGTTATGAGTAGACAAACCATATTTATTAAAAAATGGGTCCAAAAGTGAAATGCACAAACACATATCACTGTGATGGGTAATTGTGTGCAGTCATCTGGAATACTGTGATGGACAACCCAAGTCTTTCAATGAGATCGACCAAAAGCTGTGATGGGTCACCACTGTATATACAGTCACCCAGAGAGTTGAGATCGCAAGAAATTGTATCTTTCACAAATGCAGATGTACAAAAAAGGACATCTCTTTATTTACTGAGGAAGTGTCAACATTTGTGTACACACACATAATGCTCAGATATGATGTCCATGTTCACGTTGTGAACATGGATTCTTGTGGAGTCCAATTTCTGATATCCAAGGCAGCAGAAGAACCAATTCAGATAGAGATCAATTCATCTGTATTAGTTCTCTCTGGGGCCCCAGTTCATTGGATGGTGCCCACCACCAATGAGGGCAGATTGTCTGCACCTAGTTCACTCAGACTCACATATAATCTCTGGAAACACCCTCAAAGACACCCAAAATAATGCTTTACCTGGTTTTAAGTATTACTTAATCCAGTGAAGTTGACACCTAAAATTAAATCCACAGATCCACCCCTTGTCAACCTATGCATCTCCTCAAACCATACTTAATTTCTACATAAAGACTATAGTCTTTATTTAGTTAAACTATTGTCTTTATTTAGGTGAGAGTTCTTTCTAACATGATGCAACCAACATGATGCAACCATCCTGCATACAGCCAACAATGCACTAACCCCATTCCCAGAATTTGGCTTCCAGGATTTCAACACTTGGGATTTTAATCTTTTGGGATTGTGATTTTCAGGATTTTAGATGTTAGGGATTTAGGCTTTAGGGATTTTTTTTTCCTTAGATTTTTGTTCCTAGGCTAGTCAAGTGCTGTAGTGAGAAAGAGTAGAACAAAGAGGTCAATATGAAACGGACTGTGAACAGTCAACTGAGATAACTCACTACCCTGGGACCAGCCAAGAAATTTGATCCTTAGGGATTTTGATCTTTCAGGATGTCAATGATCAGTATTACGGTGTTCAGGATCGTGTCTTTTGGGATCATGATCCAAACCCCACCTTCTCCTATCCCCACCACCTCAGGTGCCCAGCTTGGGCATCCCCCCATGACACTCCCACCAGCCTTACCTCTTTCCACGGCGCTTCAGCTCATTGAGCAGCGTGATGACCTGCCGGGCCCCAGTGCAGCCCAGGGGGTGCCCTAAAGCCACTGCACCCCCCAGAGGGTTCACCTTCTCAAGGGGAAGCCCTAGCTTCTCCACACAATAGACGGCCTGGAAAGAGGCAGAGCATTGGCTACAGCCCTCTCACCCCTCCCCTGTACCACCAGCCCACTCCCTGAATCCAGGTAACCCGGGTCCAGACCTTGTTGAGAAACAGGGCTCACCTGGCTTGCAAAGGCCTCATTAATCTCAAAGATATCCACATCATTCACTGTCAGCCCTGCAAGTCAGGTAAAGATGTAAGTTGACACAGTGACCCACCTGAGCAGGACCCTGCCCCAGCTATGGGCCTACAGGCCACCTAGGGTGTATATCTCTTCTAGAAGAGTGAGGAGGTCCCAGGTGTAGGGTCAGGAAGGACTTGGAGTATGCGGTGCTAGCTTGCCCCACCTTCACTCTGCAGCATCCATAGCACCTGCCCCCCACCACACACCTGGCAACAGTATGCAGGGCAGGAGTGGGATCTAGGCAGAACCCGATCTAAGGTATGAAGGGGCTGCCTTACCTGCTTTCTGCAATGCTACAGGGATGGCATAGGCAGGTCCGATGCCCATAACATCAGGTGGTACCCCAACCACTGCATAGGACCTCAGGACCCCAAGGATGGGAAGTCCCAACTCTTCTGCCTTGGACCTCCGGGCCAGCAGGACGGCAGCTGCCCCATCACTCACCTGGCTGGAGTTTCCTAGGGGTAGATTGTCGGGGTAAGGAGGCATTAGGGCTGGACAGAGGAGATCCAGTCCTCCCACATCCAACCTACAGAGGGGCCCAGAATAGAGCCCCCAGCATGGCCATGGCCCTATTCCTCACACCCTCCCCCAGCCCAGCCTCACCAGCTGTGGTGGAGCCATTCTTCTTGAAGGCAGGCTTCAGTTTGGCCAGGCCCTCCATGGTGGTGCTGGGGCGGATACCCTCATCCTGGGTCACAGTGATGCTTCTTGTGGTGCCCTTGTCATCATGCATGGTGGTGGTCACAGGCACAATCTCAGCTTGGAAACAGCCCTTGTTCTGGGCCCTTGCTGCCCTGCCAGCACCACGGACAGCCAGGCTCAGGCTTCCTTGGGGTTCCCTTCCTCTTTGCCCCCAGCCCCTGCCCATCTGGACAGATGCAAATTCAAGCTGCTAATTTGGGGACATGCCTAGCCTTGGGGAAGCTCTAAGGGATTGGTGGAGGTTCCTTACTACCCCCACCTGCCCCGGGAATGGGAGGCATAACAAGGCCTTATGGGGCCTTCTTTACCATCAGCCCCAGATTTCCCTCATGGCCAATCCCAACCTCAAAGGAAGGAAGGAAGGATATTTGGAGGTGGTATCCCCCACTTAAAGAGTCCTTCATCCAAGAGGGACTAAACCTGCTTGGTCCATTCTGCTAAACTGAGGATGGAGCCCCAGGAATATTTGTACTGCATTCTGCTGACTTTTCTGTTTGAACTCAACAGTTCAATTTCTCCCAGTCCCCAGTTTCCACATATTTAAAGTGACATATACTAAACTACTCAGTGTACTTTTGTATTTAAATAGTTTTAAAGTACAAGGCATTTTAAGGTGACCCTTGCAATCATGTGCAATATACAAGTGCCCAGGGATATTCCAATGGGAAGGAACTCAAAGCTTTCAACAGATTTCAAATGGTTACCTGACTCCAAGTGGCTAAGAATCACCGTCTCAGAGAAGCTCACCTGGCCAATACCACTCCATTCCTTTGCTGTCCTTGCTCTGTACAGCTGGGACTTGCCAGCCTTAAATTGCCCCTGCCCAGAGGCCTGAGCCCCTGGGGCTTCTCTGATGTCATCCCCAGTTCCTGCCTCAGGATGCTACTGCAGACCCAGGCATGATTCAGAAGACAGGATGCCAGGGTCCCTAGCACTGCTAGCCCACACTCCAGGGTACCCAGAGAAGCCTATGGCTATCATGTCTAGTCACCAAACCACAGCCAGTTGGAGAAGAATAGATGGGGAAACCAAGGTCCAGCGAGGGCAAAGACACTCAAGGTGAAAGACAGTAACACAACCTGGAAGTGGCACCAACCCACAGTGTCCCTGGCACTTCCCACCTGCCACCCCCCAACCTGGGAGGCTTGGAAACCACCCACAGGACAGCTCCACCTCAGACCACTTAGGATAGCCTCAAAACCTCACTCTCCAGCCCTTCAAACATTTCATCCCAAGCAGCACTCACTTCTGCTGGGAAGCCAGTGCAAAGGTATCCTGCTTCTCCCGTGAAATGCCGAACCGCTCAGCCACATTCTCAGAGGTTATCCTAGAACATAAGTAGCAAATCATGGGCACTGGTGTAGCAGCCTAGAGGACTGGCCCAAGCTGTAGGGCTGTGCTTAAAGCTCTGACTTCCCAGGGCTGTAGGCAGGAAAGGATGGGAGGGCCAGCTTATGTCATGGGGACAGCAGTGATGACTCCAGATGTGGTACACCCCACCCCCAGGGTGGATACAGAGGCACACAGATAGGGAGGCAGCAATGCTGACTAGATCCTAAGAAGCTCAGACACCAAAGAGACCCTCTCTGAGAAAGGGAGCAGCCTGCATGGGAGGCAGCTGCAGAAAACAATCAGTTCCCTAGGTGAGCTGCCTCTGCACAAAGAAGAAGAGGGGCTGAGGAGGGTTTGGGTGGCAGCGCTGACTGACATCTCTTGGCCAGTTTCTCCTGTGCTTTAAGGAAAACTGCTTTAAGGTGGGAAGATGAGGACTCCCAGGTCTCCTCTAGAAGGCTAAACCTAGGCTTTCTGGCCACGTAGCTGGAGCCTATTCCTTTCCTGGGAAGCCAGAGTGGTAGTGAGGCCTTCCAGCCTGGGTTTTCAGCTTCACAGGCTTCCCTTGGACAGCATGTGAAAGAAGCCAAGGCACTGTCCCTCTCAAGCCTCAGTCTGCTGTGTATCTCCTGGATCCAGCACTCCCTGCCCATGGACCTGGGGATGGCCCAAAAGCTCAGAGATACGCTGCAGAGCTAAGGCGCTCTGTACAACTGCAACATACTTTCACGTTGCATCTTACAGGGCCTAAGTTCCCTCACCAGCATGTTCAGTATTCAAAAGCTCCCAGTCTCCTTCTCAACTTTCTAGGTCCTAGGCTTTGGAATACAGCTGCCATCATCCTTCCCATCATTGAGCATCTCAGTGTGGGAGTGACAGGGTGGGTTATGTTTGGAAACTCAAGGGCACAGAGGACATGGAGGCCTCAGAAGAATGAAGTCAAGGGCAGCTTCATGTCTCATCCTCAGAGTCCCCGAAGAGCAGACCACGCCCAAAGGAAGGAGACCAAGGCTTGGCATTGCCAGCCACAGAGATAATAAAGTACCTTGGCCCCTGCTCTAGACCAGGCAGGGAGCTTAGAGAGCACAGGCGCACGGAGCTATCAGGGCACTTACCCCATAGGAATCAGGCAATCTCTGGCCTTGTCCTTCTCCATCAAACGTGAAGTAATATTTCCAGGGTTCCCTCTGTCAGCCAGGGACATGGACTCCACCCTGAAGGGGAAGAGAGGGTGAGGTTGGCCCTAGCAGGACTCCCCAGGGATGGCTGTACATTTGGCAAGTGTTAGAAAATAACCAGGGAGCCTTCAGGAAGTCCAATGGGCTGTCTGGGAGCCCCAGGCAGGGCACTTAGCCAGTAAGGCAGAGCTAGGGGTACAGCGCTGCTGAGCCCTGTCTCTACTTCCAACCCAGGACAGAACACTGACACCCACACTTCCAGGGCAGGGCTATGCTTCTCTACATAACTACAAAATCAGCCAATTGGTGGTTCCTGAAGAAAACCTTCTGGTATTGGCCACAGTGGAGGAAACACACCCAGAAGCCTAGACCTGCCCTCAGGGGCCCACAAAAAGTGGAGAAGAGACAAATATTTTAAAGTAACCACAAAGTTCAGATTAGAGACGATCTGCATAGACAAGAAAGTGCTACGAGCTGAGAGGAACCAGAGCTCATCAGTTTAGAATGGCCAGAAAGGGATTCAAGGACACGGGGACCATAACACCTGAAGGAATGACAACAGATAACCTTGACTAAGTGCTTTTCACATGCTCAGCACTATTCTGAACTCTGTGCTGCAAACAATGTCAGTTATATGATACATGACCTACAGTGTAAGCTGTTATTACTTCACTTAATCTTGTCATTGACTTCAAGAGAGCGCAGGTAAGTATCCCCATTTTATAGATGTGGACATTGGGGTCCAGAGAGGCTGAGTAACTTGTCTACAGTCATACAGCCTGGATCCACATTTAGGTAGTCTGGCCATAGAGCCCATTCCCAACAAAGATGCCCTGGGCTAAACTTCATGACCAAAGTCTATGGGAAACAGTCAGCCTATAATGTGGGTGTCAGACCTGGCCCTGATCCTTAATAGCCTGGTACCATGGTCCTTAAGCTGCTTGGGAATCAGATGCCCTCTACAAAACTCATGAGGGTTCTATCCCTTTAAAGTTTCCCATACCACCTCGCACCCAGGATGAACATGAGAAAAATTAAAGGGCAATGGCCCTTGCCCAGCCAAAATCCCAGTAGGGTGGTCTCTGGCTATATTTATAATTGCAGACATAGGTCAGTACAACCCAGTGTCAGTAAGCCTGACCCTGGGACAGGGGCCAGCAATGCTTCCTATCAAGAAACACTATAAAGAGGATCTGAAAGGCAGCAGGAGCTTGAAAGAACCCTGAGGCTATGTACCACCCTGAACCTGCCAAAGCCCTCATTTCCTCTGCCTTCCCAGCACCTCCCACCCAAGCCTGAGCCCCGATACCCTTCCATTTCTTGGAGGCACTGCCAAACACAATGCCTACAGCTGCATTTGCTGCAGCCAAAGATGAAGCCACAGTCTGGGAGGAAGTGACAATGACCAAACTACCACAGATCTAACCACGTTCCTCAGAACCCAGTAGGCAGGTAGAAGTTTCCATGCGGGTATGAGGGTGGGGAAAAAGGGGACAGAGTCTTGTAGAATGAGCAAACTAGTTATACAGTAGGTGCCTATCTCTGGCTTTAGGGAACCAACTAGACCTTCTGTCTCAGCAGCATCATGAATCAATGAGGGACACCAAAGGAAACCCAGGTGTTGTATTTTCTCAAAAATGCTTGCTCACATTTTTCCAGCCTGACAGACTTCCAAGACAGTAAGCCTGTAGAGGCCAACTGCCCTCCCCAACTAGTGCTAAGAGGAAGAGGTGTGAGTGATTCCCAAACAGCCAGAGTAGGAGGCCACTCCTAAGGTGCGTTTGTGAGAACCTACTCCCGGCCAGCTGTCTAAAGGGGATGGAGGAATCCTGAAATCATGGCCTCTGGGAACTCAGGAGATGAAAATTAGTTTTATTGTCACAAGTTGGTTAATAAGCTCTGGCAGAAAAAAATTCTTACCCACAGGCCATGCCAATGTCATAAGACCCATTTCTGATGCCACCTGCAACAAAAGCATTTCATAAACATCCTTTGCCAGAGTCTGTCTGTTCTGGAAGCAGCAGAGCCTCTTCCCCTCCTGGTCTCTAGGTGGGACTCAGCCCCAGCCTCAGAGATGGAAGACCCAGGAGTGTTCAGAAAAAGGCTTGGGGCAGTGGCAAGGGTGCTCCTGCACTCCTTCTGAGGTTAAAGTCCTCTCAGAAATCTTTATTGCTTGCCTAGTGACTTTGCGGACCCAAACTTGCAAGGCCAGGACCAAGGCCAGACTGGGCAGTGGGCTCCCACCCAGTGATAACGTACCAGCTATGTTGGCCACTGCCTGTAGCCCCGACGAACACTGTCTGTTGACGGCAGACAAAGGCACAGTCTCTGGGATGTCACTGAAACAGAAAATGAGACAGTGGAATCAACTTCCTCTACCCTGCCAGGCTCTCAAGGAAAGAAGGAATGTGCTTCTAACTGTCCCCTCTGAAGGGGTGCAAACTCTAGGAGAACAAACCCAGCAGTCCTGCCCTCATGCCAGAACAGATCCGTGGAATGGGAGAAGTGCAGTTATGGGGAAGCCATCTGCAGGTGCTTCTCCCCAGGGCCCCACGAGCACATGCCCTTCTACCCCATGAGTCTCCTCAACTAAAGACCAAGCACAGCTCAAAAGCAAGGGAAGCCTGTTGGTGCTACAGACATCCTTCTTTTTTTCCCTTTGAAGATTCCAATATAAAAACCACATCTCCATTTCCGCCAAAAACGAAAAAGGGCCCGTTGCTAGGATAGAACATTAGAGCAAAAGAAATGTCTAAAGTCTGAGGCTAGGGACCATCACCAACCCTTGGCCTTAATAGTAACTATATGGCTAATCCTTCCCATTCCTGTTCCCTCTTGAAAACCTGTTCCTACCTGAACAAAGAACTCTGATGGGCACCATGTATTCTAATATCCCTTGCTTTGGTGGGTTTCTCCAAGTTCTCACACTGATCTGAGTTTTAGAAGCTAAGCAGCCCCTCCCAATGTAACCTTGGCCAACAGTACAAAGCCCTAGGAAAATTTCCAGGCCCTCCCCAAGACCCACAGAATCAGAACCTCAGGGAGTAAAAGCATCCTGATAACTGTGGTATACAGTCAGGGTTGGGGACCCCCGAGCTAGTGCCCAGGCCAGAATCTGCAGAGATCCTTTCAGGTGGACAGCCTCCTATGTCTTTGCAGCCTGTTTAACCCTTCCCTATTATGGTTACTGCTCCTTCACCCAATTCACCAGTGTTCACTAAATTTCTACTTAGCACAAGGCATCAACCTGAGGGATGCTGAAATGTTTATAATACTGTACCCTGATTGATGCCTGAGTAACACACAGAAAAGGAATCAATTAGCAGAGAGTGAAATAACAAGGCCAAAAGGCAAAATCACATCACAAGGAAGCACATGGCTAACTACAGAAAAGAGGCTCTCATCATGAGAGCATGGGTAAGTCATGCCCAATGGTAAGACTGTGTTGGGCAGGGTTTAGTTAGGACAGAGAGAAGATAGGGACAGCACTTCAAGGAGACAGAAGCCGCAGTAGAGAGGATGGTAGGTAGACAAGTTGACTGAAAGAGGTCAAGGCAGGTAAGCAGCTGGAAGATGCAGCTGGAAGGTAAGTCTGGAGCCAGACTGTGGGAGGCCTTGAACTACAGGCTAAGCCCTCTCAGTTCCTAGAAGATTTTGATTTCCCAGTCCTTCATTAACCAATGTCCCTATTATTTCTTCTCCATGCAGCTGGAAATACACAAGTAAGTAGTTCTTAAATTTATATGTGAAAATAATTTACGTACTTCCCCTTGGAACACAAGTGCTTATGGACAAGTTTACCAGGGCTCCTCCTGAGTTCCCCTTTCCCAGGGTTCTGTCCTAGCCCCAAGTTTTGCTGATGGGATATGACAGGAGTTTCCAGCTTGCTCAACTAGCAAAAAGGCTCAAAGTCACTCCCCTGCATGCCCTCTTGGTTACTTACCTGATAAATGAGGCCAGAGTCTACACTGATAAGCAACAACCTGGCTCTGGCTAAAAATCAGGCCACAGAGAACTTTTGCTCCAGCCCCAAAGGCCCTGTGCATCCTGGTTTGGCACGGGGTAACATACCCTGCCCTCACAGTAGGGGAAATGTTGAGTTTACAAGAGCAGAGTGCCAGACTCTGATTGCCTCAGGTCCAGGGTCCAAAGTGATCCACCCCCACCCACGGGCTGAGTTCCCTGAGGTCTGGGCCCACTCAAGGGTCAAAATGGCCAACCCAGAGCTAGAACTAGAAAAGTTTACCTCAGAAACTGGGCGATTCGGGCCATGACTGCCCCGGCCCCAGGCTGAAGCACATTTCCTGTGGACAACAAACCCTTATTCAGTGCCAAGTGTTGTTCTGGGCTTTAAGGCATAACTGTGAATACCAGAGAGGAAACATTCCAGACCTTTCTTTAGGAACATTAGCCCTTAGCAGGTTCACTTGCAGCTCTGGAACTTCAGAGTTTGGAACAGAGGGAGCCAGCTAGTCATACAACAGCTTGTCCTGTTCAGTACCTGAGTGTCCCAAGCTCACTTGCCCGTGCACACAGTTTTTCCAAATCAGCGCCAGTGGGCAGGCTGTCTGCCCTTAAAGGTGACTCGGAAAACTTTAAAGAAAGAAAAATGCAATGCAAAGCTTGAAGTCTGACAGAACAGGTCCTGTGGTTAGGAAAACGCACACCTGGTGCAGTTCTCTTCCTCCAAGCCCTGTGTCACTCAAGAGGTGACACCCACTGGAAGAGGCTCTCGCCATTTTACGTTGTTAGACTTCAAGGCCAGACGTGTAGGGGTGGTAAAGAGGGCTGGCTACGGTTCCCCTCGGTGAAAACTCCGGGTAGGGAGGAAGCGGGGCTTTGGAGGAATAGTAAGGTGGGGAGGGTCGAGCGCAGGCCGTGGGTCGTGGCCTCACCTACGCAGATGTCCCCCAGCTGCTCTGGCCTCAGCTTCAAGTCCTGGAGAACCGCGGTCATGACGGCCGAGAGAAGCTCGTCGGGGGTGGTATCCTGCAGCGGGAAGAGCAGCCGCGGTGACCCCCACTCTCCCACGCCCGCCCCGGGGAGACAGAGCGACTGGAGCTCGGGTGCAGAGCTGCCGCCGGCATCTAGGAGAACCAAGCAGACGTGCGGTACCCCAGCCCGCCCAGGTTGTGTTCCCACACCCAGGGCCCAGACCAATCGGCCTCACCTTGAAGCCGCCGCGGTTCGCTCGTCCAATGGCCGTGCGCCGCCCGTGCACCACCACCACGTCCGCGGCCGAGGCCGAGGCCCGCGGGGCGCTGCTTGCGCACAGCGCGGCCTGCGGCTTCCAGCCGGAGTCGGGCTGGCCACCGGAGTCGGGCTGGCCTTTCAGGTGGCCCAGCACTACCTGCAGCCTCCTCATCGTGCAGCTCGGCCTACGACAAGCCCCCCGTCCAGGAACAGACAGCCGGTCGGAGGTAACAGACCGTCGCGCGCACAGGCGCGGAATTATACCTCAGCAGCCGCCGAGGCCTAAGCTCCGCCTACAGCCCTGCGAAGGGTCGCGAACGTCCTCTCAAAAGTCCCGCCCACCTCCCGCTGCAGCCAACCAGAAAGCGAGTCTCTGAGCATCCGCCTCCCTCCCCCGCCGCCCACCGGGTCTTCCGTAGCAGAGCCTCCTGGACCAGCTTCCCACTCAAAGCCCCGCCTACCGCAGTCGACCGCGGCCAACCAGGAAGCGGGTCTTCCTGAAGCGCAGCCGGGAGGTGCAGACCGGAAACTTTCCTGCTTTTGCAATCTTCGGCAGCCAAACCATAGGCGGGGTCTCAAAACCCTGCCCACTGACCGCCGCCAAACAGAAGGCGCGTTCTCCAGGAGCTCCGCCTATTGCTTCTTTCTCGAGATGAAGAAGGAAGCCCGGACTCTTAACTCCACTACCTCCTTTCTAGTGGTTTCTGCTAAGCCCCGCGTCCTAGCACCCAAGCTAGGAAATCTAAAAACTTCTGAGACGCCTGAGTCTACTCCGACGTCCCGGAAAGTCTTTCAAGACTGAGGAAATTTGGGATCCCAGGCTGGCGGGGAGAATGGATTTTACAAAGATGTCGAGGTGTGACAAAGTCTCTAACTGGAGAGGGAACATTCCACACTTCTATTACCAATTTTACACCCAATTAGGATAATTTGATTAGTGCCCACTTCCTCTGCTAGGCTGGGTTCTCCATCAAGGCAGAGAGGTACCCTGTATCTGGGGAACCTGCAAAATGCTTGACACTTGCTAGGTGATCAATGAATACTTGTTTAATGAATGAATAAACCAGGGATCCCCAGGTCAGGACTGTGTCCCCAATCCTAAAGAGCAAGGCCATGTGCCCCCTTGGCTCCTAATGGCAGGGTCATATTTGCCATTACCTGAGACCCTGGGGAATAATACTGGGTTTCCCTCAGACACCAATGGTCAGGGTGCTCTGAGATCCCTAACCCTGCAGAATACGATCATGACAGATCATGACACACACTCCCCCTTTCGAGGGCAGGGCCACGGCATGCCTCAGACTCCAGAAGGCGTCTCCCTTTCCCATTGCCAGCACGGGGCGCACAGCAAGTCCCTCTGCATCGGGCAGGCTTGTGTGTTCCCTGACGGCCTGGATTGTATGAGAGATTCTGTGTGTGATCCCTGGAGGGCAGGATGTATGAGACCCCGGAGGGCTGAGCTCTTGCTTCCCCCACGTGTCCTCTCCCCGCCATCCTCGAGGGCAGGCCCGTATGAGACCCTCAGGTCCCCAACGGAAGGGATGCGACTTCATTAGATCCCAAAGAGCAAGGCTCATTTCCTACAACTCTGAAGGAGGATAGTCCCCGCCCTCGGCTGCCCGCCCACTGCCACCACCGCCAAACCCTCGAGGGCAGTTTCGTGGACCTCCCTAAATCTCAAAAGGCAGGCCCGGGTGCCCATGCCGCCCCCGCGACCGCGAGGGTAGGGGTGGGCACGCCCACCTCCGCACGTCTGCACCGGGGTTCCAGATTGCAGGGCGGGGCGGAGCTTCGCGGAAAGCGAAAGCCGGCGGGGAGGGGCGGGAGTCACCGGGGAAAGAGGAAGCGCTGACAGGCGACGCGACCCTACACCGCCGAGGCTCCCCGGCGTCCCGCCATGGCAGCAGAAGATCCCAGCGCTGGGTCCGCGCCCGCGGCCTCCTCCGCGGCCTCCCTGCCCCTGGCGGCGCTCAACGTGCGAGTGCGGCGTCGCCTGTCGTTGTTCTTGAACGTGCGGGCACAGGTGGCGTCCGACTGGACCGCGCTGGCAGAGGAGATGGGCTTTGAGTACTTGGAGATCCGGCAGCTGGAGACGCACGCAGACCCCACAGGCAGGCTGCTGGATGCCTGGCAGGGACGCCCCGGCGCCTCGGTAGGCCGCCTGCTCGAGCTGCTCGCCCAGCTGGGTCGCGACGACGTGCTGGTGGAGCTGGGACCCAGCATTGGTGAGGACGCCCCATTGCTGGCCTTGTTTCTTTAGGGGTAGGGGGTGAGGAGGCTGACCTTCACCGGCCTCAGCATCCCCGGGAGAGGCTCCGTTTCCTGCCTCGGGGGACCTGGAGAAGCCTGCGGAGGGAGAACTGTGCGGGTTCAGTTCTCTCCAGGGCATGATAGGGGTTGGAGAAAGGTGGTGAAGGCCCAGAGAGGCAGAGATAAGGAAGCGGCTTAGGCAAAGGCTTTTAGATGGGGCCTGGAGTCAAAATCAGGCTTCTCTGGGGGGGCGTCTGGGCTGCTTAAATTAGAACAACGGGACAGGTGAGGGACTGGAAGCAGTCTTGGAAACTTCAAGTACCCCCTGGGGAAAAGGAGTACCCCCTGCCACTCACTAGCACTTATATAATATACATGCATAGGCGTTGGGTAGAGGTGCCCACACACAGGCACACCTTGCTTGGTTGGGGTCACTGGCCCCCTGCACCATAACCGGTGGGTCTCCTGAGCCCTTTTCCATTCCCAGCCCCTTGTTCACCTCTGCCCTGGATCCTAGAATAAGCAGACCTACCTTGGTTCCATTCTTAGGAGTCCTAAGAAGGGACAGAGGTACAAGCCTCACCTTGGTGGCTTCCCAGGTAGCCAGAACACCACTGACATCCCTCTGGGACAGTCATAGCTTGTGGGAGCTCAGCTTTTCAGAACTGTTTAGCTGCTGATGGCAACAGGAGGCTGCAGAAGCCCCAGAGCACAACAGGGTCAGAGGAGGTGAGATAGGAAATGGATCCTCACTGTGGGTAGGGGTGGGGCATTCCCGGGAAGCCTGCTACACCCTGTCTCTTCCCCACAGAGGAGGATTGCCAAAAGTATATTTTGAAGCAGCAGCAGGAGGAGTCTGAAAAGCCCTTACAGGTGGCCGCTGTAGACAGCAGTGTCCCACGGACAGCAGAGCTGGCGGGCATCACCACACTCGATGACCCCCTGGGTAAGGTTCCAATACTGTTCTTATGGGACAGGTGGAACAGCTGGGCCACAGGACATGGTGGTATTAAGAGTATGGATGTTGGGAGCAGATGGGTTGTGGGACCTTGAGCAAGTCATTTAATCTTTCTGAGCCTCAGTTTCCTCCCTTAAGAAATGGGGATAATATAGTCCTACCTCAGGATTGCTATGAGATTTTCATGAAACGATGTATCCATCTCATGATTAACCGAGAGCTTGGTACCCAAGAGTACTCATCTTTCCTCTCCTGGAAAGGGCACTTTCTCTGAGTAGTGTTATCTTGGGATGGGTGTAGGGCCCAGGACCAGGGAAGCCTAGGCTGGAGGCTCTTGACTGGGGTCCTTCCTAGCCTTGACCATCACCCTTGTACTCTGCACCCAGGGCAAATGCCTGAGCGTTTTGATGCCTTCATCTGCTACTGCCCTAGCGACATCCAGTTTGTGCAGGAGATGATCCGGCAATTGGAACAGACAAACTATCGGCTGAAATTGTGTGTGTCTGACCGCGACGTCCTGCCTGGCACCTGTGTCTGGTCCATTGCCAGTGAACTCATTGAGAAGAGGTTGACTAGGGGGAAAGGGCCTTGGTGGCTGGGTGGGCGGGTGAGTAAATGAAGCCCTATTCAGGGGTCAGATGCTGGTCATCTCCTCTTAGTTGGGCACTGTCTAACCTGGGCCCAAAGGCCCCTCATGAAGCTGTCCCCTGGGGGAATGCTGAACTAAGGTGCCACAAGGCCTGCAGCCTGTCCACTCTCCCCTAGGTGCCGCCGGATGGTGGTTGTTGTCTCTGATGATTACCTGCAGAGCAAGGAATGTGACTTCCAGACCAAATTTGCACTCAGCCTCTCTCCAGGTAAGCTCAGCTTTTCCCTGGCCAGAGAGTAACAGGTAGGCGGGACCTCTATATGCCAGCCCTCCCTCCCCAAGGGCCTGGATGTCACACCAAGGAACTACTATAGGTATCTACACACCTGAGCATGTGTGTATGTATGTGCCACTTTGTGTGGGTGAATGTGTGCAAGGGGTCCCTAGTCAGGGGAAGACTTTTGTTAGCTCCCGGGATGAAGGCTGGGCCTGCCCCACAATGGGGTAAGGGCCTGATGTCAGCATGGCACCCCTTGGCTTGCAGGTGCCCATCAGAAGCGACTGATCCCCATCAAGTACAAGACAATGAAGAAAGAGTTTCCCAGTATCCTGCGGTTCATCACTGTCTGCGACTACACTAATCCCTGTACCAAGTCCTGGTTCTGGACTCGCCTTGCTAAGGCCTTGTCCCTGCCCTGAAGCCTGCCCTGGGACCCTGGGTGTGTGTGCGTCTGTCTCCCTGTCCATGTACTTCTGCCCCTTCTTCCTCTTTTGGTTGTAGGGAGCAATCTGTGCTCTATTTGCCTCTCAGTTCCTGGAGATGCCAGCTCCAAGACAAACTGCCGCAGCTGGATGTTACATTTCATGTCCTGCATGGAACCAGTAGCGGCGAGTGGTGCTTGCTGGGTTATCAGACAGGACAGTGAAGAACAGGGCTGGCTGGGACTAAGTGGAGGACCACAAGAGCCAGCTCTGTGACATTCATATATTTTCAGCTTGAGTTTCCCCACTTGAGAAGTGGGATGGGGAGACCAGGTGTGCTTTAATCACTGTAGGAAGTGGTGACGCATTGCGCTGAGTCTGCTGGGAAGACATCTTGGCTGTAGGGGAGCTGGCCACTGCTGGACAATATGCTAGCCGCTGCTGGGACCATGGCGCTGCTGGGACAGCTGCTTTCACGGTGGCACCTGCTGATGCTTCAGTGCCTCTCTGCACACCTCATGTCCTACGTCCTTTCTCCTACCCCAGGAAGGAATAAGGATGTGAGCTTCCCAGCACAAGAAGATCCCACCTTGAGCCTGATTCCCTGGCAGGCTTACCTCTCACCTGTGTCTTATACTCCTCCCATCCTCTGCCCTACCTTTTGCAGTGACAAGTCCCTAAAAGCCTGGCCTGAGCACTGGGGCCATTTTTCACTTCCACCTGCCAAGATGCCTATGGCGGCACTCTCTGTTCCACATGATGGGAGATGGGATCCCAGCCTCTGACATAGCTATCAAATATGAATTCTGAGGCTGAGTCACAATTACCATGTGAGCAGGGAGCCTTTCTCCCTGGACCACCCACAGAGAGCTCTCCTACCAACTTTCTGCACCTTGATTGCCTTACAAAATTGTTTGTTTACAGTGACCACACAAGAGCCTCCTGCCCCAAAGCTTTTGGGCACATAGACACATAAGAACTCACTCAAACAGACATATGTATACCTGCAAACACACGTTTTTCTGGGTACAGCTCCTAGGAACATTTAAGTGGGAGAGGCCCACCATCAAGAGGGCCTAACCACCTTCCTGAACAAAGATGGGGTACTCTTGTATTCTTTTTGTCTTTTTCCCCTGCTCATTGAAATCAAACTCTGGAAAGGACTCACTGTGTCAGCATTTATACCTTCAGTGAAGCATAGAAGAAGAGAGCTGCTTGAACTCAAAACAAATTGCAGACAGCTGTTCTCTTCCTCTTAGAGCCATTTGTACATTATCCTCAAGCTCTCCTTCAGGGAGAAAATGCCATAGTGTCAGGCGTCTGTGCCCCAGTCTACCCTAAATCCAAGAGAAAAAGTGTCACTTCTCTGCTCAATCTTTAGCCTGGCTGGAGCAAGGTGCCTTCCCTTGGGGTCTTGGGATGAGATGGAGGACCCTCTCTGCATGATCTTGATGAAGCATTTAGCTGCTATGCTAAATGCTCCCCTTTGTCATTGGGCATTTTAAGCAGTTTTGAGAAAGTATCATCTGTACCTGTTTTATATGCATTGTGTGAACTTCAGAGATATCTGAGAAATGCCCGTGTTTGCCATTCCTCCTGTACCCTGAGTTTATAAGTAAAGCAGATTCTACTTTGGCAACTGTGTGTGTGTATGTGTGTGGAAGGAGTCAGTAACCTGGGATAAGGTTCTCCTGGGTAAGAGAAGCCAGCCCCTTGTGGGGCTTCTGTTGGGTTGGCAGGAGCTTCCTGAAAGGGGACTTCCTCCTCAAAGGTTCAGGCCTGAGCCGAGATGCAGGCAGAACCACGAATATTGAACTTAGAGCTAGATACTCAGGAGACTATTGTGCTCCAGCTTTCTGGCCTGTGTGTAGGGACTGATCCAGGCTCCAAGGAGAGTCTGAAGGACCCCCATTCCAGCCATAGATCTGAGGGCTAAACTTATTACTAATGGCCTTCTTTGGGCATATTCATGTTAATCCTGAAGTTATTGATCTATTTTTTAAAGAAAATGTATTGCTTTTTCACGGTTCATTCGAGAAAATTTGGAAAATGTAAAGAAAAATAATACTGCTAGATGTGGTTGCTCAAGCCTGCAATTCCAGCACTTTGGGAGGCAGAGGCGAGAGGATTGCCTGAGCCCATGGGTTCGAGACCAGCCTGAGAAACATGGAGAGACCTTGTCTCTACACTAAATTAAAAAATTAGCCAGGCGTAGTGGCACATGCCTGTGGTTCCAGTTACTTGGAAGGCTGAGGCCAAACAATCACCTGAGCCCAGTAAGTCGATGCTGCAGTAGCTGTGAGCGTGCCACTGCACTCCAGACTAGGTGACAGAGTGAGACTCCAACTCAAAAAAAATAAAAAATAAAAGAAAAATAATACTAATCTCAGAGATAAACTCAAACAAAGTTTTAGAGTGCTCAGACATTGTCAGTGACAGCAGCTTTCTTTTCGGAGGTCTACTCATTACTGTGCCCTGATTTCTTAGTCACCCAGATGCTATAGGCCACCCACCCTTACCTCTACGCTCTCAGGGACTCCTGGGAAGGCTCTGTGTATTCAGGGAAGCCTTGAGGTAGGGCCTTCTTCTCCAGTGTCCCTTGGGAGCAGAGTCACAGTGTGGCCCGGGAGACAGTCCTGGGTCTGCTACTGGTCTTGTGGGAATCCCTGAGTAATACCAGTCCCCTTATGGGAAAAGTCTTTGTTCTCTCAGGCCAGGTTGTTGACCTAAATGTGCCCTCCTCTCCCCTATCTGATCCTCACACCCCTCAAACCTGCCTCTCTCCAGTGCCCATCATCCCATTAGTTAGGTTCCCAAATATGAATAAAGCTTCCTCTTCTCATTTTCAATTTTAGTCTTCTAGGAATCTTTGATAGAGAAACTTTTTTTTTCCAGTAAGAAGAATTTGCTGCTAAAATTATCAAAGGCAAAAGCAGGAAATTTTGGAGGGCAGCAGCAAAATTGAAATACAAAACTACAATCTGACTTAGCAATGGACCTGGATTCTGCCATAAGTCAATGATAGGGAAAGGGATTTCCTCCAGATTAGATAAGACTTCAGTCATAACAATCAAATGTACTAATATAATATGACTTTGTTAGATCCTGCTTCCAATAGTCTAACAACAATAAAAGACAATATTGGGTCATATATCTGATAAGGAGTTAATATCCAGAATATATGAAACACTCCTACAAGTCAATAACAAAAAAACAACAGGATTCAAAAGTAGGCAAAAACCTTGAACAAATATTTATCCAAAGAAGATATACGAATACAAATGGTCAATACGCACTTAAAAATATGCTCAGTATCAGTAACTAGGGAAATGCAAATCAGGACCACGATGATATAGACAGTATTTCACACTTAACAAGATGATTACTAGCAAAAACACAACATAACAAGTGTTGGCCAAGATGTTGGAGGTAGTATAGAATGATATGGCTGCCATAGTCAACAGTAAAGCAATTGCTCAAAACATTAAAATATATGTATCATGTGATCCAGCAATTCCACTTATGAGTATATACCCCCAAAGAATTGAAAGCAGGGTCTTGAGGAAATATCTGTTCACCCTGTTCACAAGCAGCATTATTCACAATAGTCAAAAGGTGGAAGCAAGCCAGCATCTATCAATAGCTGAATGGAAAACCAAAATGTGGTATAGATATACAATGGAATACTGTTCAGCCTTAAAAATGAAGGACATGTTGACATAAACTGCTACACCAATGAACCTGGAGTATATTTTTTTATTTTATATTTTTCTTTTTCTTTTTTTTTAGATAAAGGGTCTGACTCTGTCTCTTACACTGGATTGCAGTGGTGGCATCATAGCTCACTGTAATCTCTGTAACCAAATGCTGCTCTATTTGGACAAATGTCTCTCTTGATGCATCTCCTGAAGACAGGCACAGTATTTTTAAATCATTAGTTAGGAATTCGAAACAGAAAATAATATTTCCCTACCTGGGTGGAGAAGAGGAGGGAAGGTTTGATAATATATTCCCAGGCATTTGAAAAAAATCTCATCTTTGGCAACTGGTTCAAAAACAAAAAATTATTCCATGACCTGGAAGAATTTGCAAACACACACACACACACACACACACACACAATATATATATATAGATATATATTTATATACTGCATTATATATATAATGCAGTATATATATACCATATATACTATATATGGCATACTATATTATATATATATCATATACATATTTTTAAGATTTCAAAAAGTATCCCCAAAATATTTTCTTTAACTCAAAATATTTGTTTTTAACTTAAAAGAGACTCTCATGAAGTGAATGGTGTTTGAGTCAGGAGGAACAGACCCAGAGAAAAGTGCCACGGAGCCTCAGCAGCCACCCTGAGAACCTTGCTTGGTGGCAGAGAGGAACCATGGCTCTTCAGCCAAGCTGGGAGATTTGAACAAATTGTTCTCCCTCAACAACGCAGACACAGTCTCTTTGGGCCTCTGGTTAACACAGAAATCTGAGTGGTAGGGGGCTGGGAATTGGCAAACAGCAGAAAACTGGAGAATGCCTGTTCAAGACAGGCTGGAATTATTCCAAATTCCAGAAGGTGAACTTAGAATCACAGAGCAGAACACAAGCAAGGCCACTGGACTGGTGAGGGTGGAAGGGGAGGGAGTTCATCATCACTTCAGGGGAACATTGTCCCCATTGACTGCCAGATGATACGCCAGATGTTGCAGAATACGTTTTCTAAATGCCCTTGGGGATGTCTGGTTCTCAGACAATATGGAGTAAACACACTTCTCCCTAATCCCTCTGCTAAGTAGAGCTAAAAACCAAAAAACACAAAAACAAAAAAACCCCAGGACATCATATATAATACAAATCTAAGGAGACTCTGAAAGGTGGAGAAAATAAGATAGAATAGTTATGGATCTTGGGACACATGGAATGACATGGCACTGGTTCCTAGGGTTTTCTTTTTGCCTCATAAATCTCAGACTGAGTACTAGAGAAGGCAGCAACCCAGAAACTAATGGATTGGCATAGGAAATTAAAAAAAAAATTGTCTACACTTTCTAGACAAAGGACCAGTAAGGGGCAGCCTTGAAAGAAAGAAAACTTTTAGACAAAACTGCTCTACTCTCACTAAACTGCAGGAAAAAAACCTGTAATACTACCTACACTCTGCCAGCCAAGACCAGATGGGAGCCTGAACTTTCACTCCCACCTGCCTGCTTGGGTGTCAGAAGAGAGGTCATGAAGAGTCAGGATTTTCACCA